AACAAGAACCCTGACCGTCGTTTCCACTGATGTGGTAATACCCATAACATAGTAAAAAGAATTTCTCTTATTAGATTTATCGATATAGATTACTTTGCAAATAAGGGTGATTAAGCTGCATTTTTCAGCTAAGAAGCTTCAAAGAGGCACTGGATGCTCAGGCAAAATATTATCTAACTTAACAACTTTTGTAATTTGTTTATGTGAAGTTATTTTATATTGCACTGTTTATTCTTCATGACTTCTTTTCTTTAATGGTTATCTCACACAGTTACGCTAAAATGCGAAATAAAAAAAACATGGGAAAACCTGGTAAAAGAAAGTGACATCTAATATAGCAAACATCGTGTTAGGCCTATTACAGCACAATAGAAGTTCAAAAATTTAGCTGTTTGCATTTGGGACCTGCAAGCAGTTGAGATCCAGCTACAAAACTGATGTTTAAACAGGGGAGAAGCAGCATGTGTGACTTACTTGCAATTATTGGACAAATTATTTGAAAACATCATCATCAAATCTGCTATTTGATTCAGACAAAGCACTATTTTAATCACCTATGTCTTTTAGAGCAAAACGCCAAAGTTACCCTGGTGCCAGAGTTTTAATTACCTAGTCTCAGAAATATGGTTAGAAAAAAGTCACTGAAACATTTTTCTCTTTGCCACTGCAGCTGTCTACAATTCTTTATCCCCAGATTTTTTAAACTCAGGTATTCAGGGTATGCCAAAGTATGTCGATGATCTTGTTTCTGGATTTGAAGTTGACTTCCAAAGAATTTAAATTGACTTCCAAGTAATGAGGGCCAACGAAAAAAATGTAATTTGTGAATGAACTCAAGATTTTCGAATTTCCAGTGATTGCAAGGTATGTGTAGAACATTATGGTGACCAAAGTTTATTAGAGATAAGAGGTCAACTAATTTCCCTACAATCATTTTCAAAAGAAACTAAAAATCATTACACCGATTACTAAAACATTTCACTTTTCATGCGAATAATAAGCAAAGCAAAATTTTTAGCTTTTAACATTCGGGAACGAGCAGTACAGAGAACATGGACAGAATCGAAGGTTAAGCAGAATGCAATTGTTTAGACCTTTCATATAATTTTTCTTGAAATTGAGATATAAGCACTTTGTGTGCCGTATCAATATGATACATTCATACGAATGTGATCCATCTGAAGGGTAGGAGGAAAAAGTGTACACGAGCATATATTCATATGAAGGGTAGGGAAAAAAGTGGCAATCCATACAATTATGACATAAGAATTGGTCGGTTTTGTGATAACAAAAAACCAGCATCATTCCATCAGAAAAACATTCTCGATGTTCAGCAGCCCAAGTAGAAAAAGTCTTATAGAAAATGGATTCAGTTAACCTTATCTAGACAGGCCTTTGTAATTCTGTATGAAAAACTTGTCAAATCGAAAATCTCTGCAGCTGAATTTCTTAATCTAGGCTGCATGAGCACGCTTATACTTGTCAACCATGAAAATGGCTCATAAATACTGTCAAATACCTTAGCACTGGCATGTGCAAAATGAATTACTTTATCACGGAGCGCGGATGCTCAATGTGGAAGCAACGGAAAACCAAAACGAGGCTTTTGAACGAAAAGATAACCTCCCAATCCGTGCACCGGAAATTGAAAGGAGGTTTATTTCAAAATGTGTTCTAGAGGCCTCACAAGAAACAAACTGAATTCCTTTGCTTCCAATTTTAGATAAAACAGAGCAGCAGGGATTCTTCGTCTAGGTCACAGTTAATATAGCCCTATAGGAGGCCAACAGCTAACACAGTTAAATCTTAAAATTGAGATTTGATTTAATACTTGACTACTCTGGTTAACTGGGCATAACAGAGCAGTTAAACACTGCAGAGAATCTTTTCATATAGGTTATGAATGTTTATTTTCAGAATATTGAAAGACAAAACAATTGAAACTATGATAACTGATGTAATTAAATAGGGTCCCCCTTCTAATTTTAACCTTTGTCCTAGCTACAATGTATCATAACCAGGGGGTAAGGTGTAAACATTTGGTATCTAGATGTCTCTAGATGCAAGGGCTTGTTCAGAAAATTATATTCATGTGATGATATCTGTAGCCAAAATATTACAGCTAAGCTTAGATTAAACAGAAACACAACTATTTTAAAACTAACAAGCAAAAATGCACTTGAACTTCTCACAACCTCTTGAAATGTATTAAAAAGTTTGCCAAAAAGAAATTTATATGGCAGAATTTTTCCTTTTGCTGTCAGTTTTTACTAAAGCACAACAAGTTACAACAAAAAGGTACCAACTAAACAGTCTTTATATAAATTTATCATGGCTGTATATTCTGGAAAATAGGAAATAAGGAACCATTGCTACCATAGATCTAAAAAAATTAGGCCCAGGGAGTCCTCACATTTTTAGGATAGGGTGCCCAGGCTAGAGTACAAACAATGAAAGCAAAAATAATTTCTAGCATAAAAATTGACCCAAAAACTTTCATGGCCCATTAAAAATGTGGGATGCTGTTTTATCCATTCAAAATTGGATGGCATAGAAAAGTTACATAACAGTCAATTTTATCTTCTAACGTTTTCCTGCAATTCCAAGAAATTAAGAAACTAAGAATTGCAATTACATGAAAAATGAAAACAAATTCAGTAAAGAAATTTTTAATTCTTATTAAAGAAAAGTTTCTAATAAAAGGAAAGATGTACTTTGCTATTATATAAATCAAACTTAAGTGATCTAAGAGAAAGCATATTAGTGTTATTCATTGAATGATTCGTCCACCTCACCTGAACAAATAAAAATTAGTGATCCTCTATTGTTTGATTCTCATTCCATTCCAATCCAAGACTCCAACACAGTCAAAGTCATACTCCATCCTCTGCAGCTACACGAATGGGAGTTGAGCTTTTATTTTGCATATCAACTAAAATTTAAGATTTTGACCATTAATACGGCTATGGATAAAGACAAATCATCAAAATTATGCATGGCATAGAAGCTTGAAAGATAACAGCTGCAACTTTATGGCTTGGATTTGAGACTCCATTGCCCGTATCCAAGGCAAAAGAAGCTGTTTGTCATTAAGTCTATGCATGAACAGACAAATTTTGTAACAATACATTGCAAAGTAGCCTGGAGGAAGATATTCAATACATTTAGGTATGAGAGTGTAGGTGTGACACTATGCTTTGATAAAAAATTAAGTTTTGTAAACAGAGAGGTTTTTTGTCATCTATGAGTGCTTTGTCAACAAATTTTCAAACATATCTATGGCTAACAGACCCTTTGCTATAGGGGGCATATGGGGTGGGATAACCCTTTTGAAAAAATTCCATTGCAAAAACAAGGAGCCTTTTGCCATTTAGGAGTGCTTACTCAGCAAATTTCCAAACTTGTCAGCAATCAGGACTGGACCTTGGTCAAATGTTTAATTATTGGGCTAGCATGAGACAAAAAAGCAAATTGTGAAAAGTTTGTATTGTTGTTTGGTTATATCTATTATATCTATGTCTCGCAGAAGCGGAATGTCTAAGAATAGTTTAGTGAACCCCCAAAAGAAATTGTAGCATAATTTTCAGCTCAAAAAATAAGTTTTTTCTCCAATCCACAAATACTTCAATTTCAAGAAGTCAAAATTTTCAGAACCAGGAAACCTTATTTAGAACACTTCTTAGGATAAGCAAATCATTATTTTAGTACAATTGCGAATGTGTGCACATTTTCCCCGTCGACTACATAGGTAGATACTAAATATCTTGGAGATGCCTTACAACAGACTGACAAACTTTGGAAGCCATCTTGGCCTTCAAAGTATTCCTGTTTACTGATACATACGCTTATGCATGCAAATATTGTTCGAGAAAACGTAAAATTTAGGCAGTAGTTTACTTACCTGCTAATATTTTCATATCAAAGCGAGAGTGGCGACGGATATTTAGTTTACTAACCTGCTAATATTTTCATATCAAAGCGAGAATGGCGACGGAGATTTACTTGTAAAATTGCAGTTTTGAGTTTCCCGCACTTTTTCATATCGCACGTCCTGAAGGTCTAGGACCTAGCATCGAGTTGGTTACGTCATTTCCTTAGAACCGGTTCTCGATTAGAACGTTGGCTAGACGATGATATCGTAGATATCTTTGTTCAGGATATTCAACTTGGACAACGTAATCTAAAATAATAATGTCAGCAGCTCTAGCTGTTAGCAAACAAAAGCATCTGCCAGAAATGATTTACTAGGAAGCTTTAGAAACGGATATAATTACAGGATAAGGATCTTTCGTAACTGATCACTTTAGGATAGTCTTGCTGCTGAAATGTATAAGCCAAACCCAAACAATATCAATTCTTTAGCAAATTCAACCTTTTACACTGCTCATATCTACGCTTATCTCTAGCAACTCCAGCTGCTTTTGTGCACTTAGAAGTGTTATGTGGACTGTGTCTTTTCTTTAGGGATATATGGTCATATCTGGTGCACCTTAACATGTTTTTTAGGTTTTTTAGGAATAGGTTTTTTGAAATTGGTTATAGTGAATTATCTTATCATGTTCTACTTGATACTTTTCAGATTAAGTAAAAAAGGTCCTGTTTACATGAGATTCGATCCCAGGTGATAAGTTTTTCGTTTGCATAGTAACTGGTGGATCTGTATAATCCAAGGATCTTTTTCTAAAACATTTCTGACAAAACACATATAGTACTAAAGAAACTTCTTATCTACTCAGAAGCATTGCGTCTCTTTTGCATCAAAACATTATTGGCTACCAGAAAATAGCTCGATTTATTTTATAAAATGAATTGCCGTCTTTGTTGGGTGAAGTAAATGTGTTTCGCAGAAAGAAAATTGTAAATACAATAATTTAACCTAGAGCTAAAATCTCAGTTTAGATCGCCGTTTTGGGTATAATAACAAAGAAGTAACCACAGGATATATGTCTTTATTGTTTTCTTATTTTTACATTTTAAGAAGGCAATTCGACAAAAGTGCATTTGAAAATTTCACTCATATCATTTTGCAACCATTAAGATAAATGCTGTTATTTTTACAAAAATATCATAGTCATAGTTTTGATTATTAATGGTAAAATCAAAAGGATATATGAATGGTACCCCCGTCAATCTATTGTAGTGCCTGCAGTTAATACCATTCTATAAACTCATATCCAGCAAAAATAATTTTTTTGCATTTCAAGCTCTACGGTAAAGCTTAGCAAAGCTTGGCTAAGCCGGAGATTTTTGCGAATGCTGTTAAGAATTGGATTATTAAAATCCATCTGTTGATTCAAAATATCTTACATTTTAGAAACGCAAAACAAATTGGAATTCATTTTTGATTATCTAATATTTTGTTGAAATGTTTTGTGAACAGATTGAAGAAGTTTAATCCATTTTTGTATTTAACAGTAAGCAGATGGAAATACCAATCAACAATAGACGTAAACAAGCAAGAATAGATGAAGCTAAACGAATTAAGTAATTTCATCCTAAGCCATGGGGTCTTTTGTCGACATTAGCAGAATACACTTTAAACAAATAATCCTTTGCAGGAGGCCATCTTCACCTATTCTTCTCGAGTTAATAGTTCAAAGCGGAGTCAACAAAAATAATATATATGATCAATGGAAATTGATTTCTTTTGTCCTTTGACCCCGGTGACCCAACTGGCACGCATTATTAATTTGAATCAACCAACGAATTTGTAAACAAGCTTAGTAAAGAAATTCTGAGCAAAAGCTTATGTATTATGGCTTAACAACATTCTACGCATTGAGAAGAAATAAATGAGAAAATCTCATTTACATGCTAAACTAGAAATAGCTCTTGCTAGTACTGCCCGCAAACAATTAGTTCCTTGATAATGATTGTTTTGAAAATTCAGGTCAGGATATTCGAAGAAGACACCATCTTGGGTTTTCACAATTTTATAAAAACAGCTGCTCTAGTTGATGCTAAACTATTCTTTTTATCAAGAATTTTTAGCGTTCAGTTTGCCTTTGATTTAAGTCCAACGCCCTTTTGAAAATCATGAAAGTTTTTCAAGGGTTTGACATTTATTTTTCGATAGTCACGCCTATCATAACTTTTGCTCGTATGGTCTCGAGTTTTTGGGAGAAAGGTGTGGCATTCGACTGGTTTTGATTCCCAAAACTTCGAATCAAAACTTCCATCCATTGCGGAGAACCGAGCTGTGATGCAGCACCGTTTTCGTGCCAAAAAACCGAAGGCCTTTAACAGAGTCTTGGCAGAGCAACGCTCCGAAGATAATTCCCCTCCGCACAAAGAGGTGGCGGTTAACGACCTCCTCGACAAAGCCGATTGATTGACAATGAAATTGATTGACAGTTGTCATGGCAGCAGAAAGTGACAAAATCTGCTGACAAAGTGCTGACAACATGAACTGAAGCTTCCATATGCTACTTATACGCGGGGCAGACTATAAGCCCTTCACTCGCGCGCTATCGCGCGCGAGTTGCGGGCAATTAATTCTATATCCAGTAAATTATGTTTTCATCTATTACTACATAAGACTGTGATCATTAAAATGATGAAAGACGATAATCTTTTAGGGATGGCAGTTTTACATGAAAACAAATTGATATCATATAATATTGTTCTATTGTTTGTACAGTTCGTTTTAAATATTTTTTCGGGTTAGTATGATAACGCAGGTCTTGAGACAGGTTTACTCTTTATTTATGAAACATTTGCCACTTATAACAAGAATGTTGAGACAGATAATGACAAGATGTTTGGCAGTCGTAGAAGAACTTTAATTGATCTAATCTGTATAGAAAATGAGCCATTTAATGCTTAGTTGCTTAGTAACAAAAATGTTTCAATTTAATGGTTTTCTTTTCATAAATGTAGCGATCAGCTTTTTACATTCCCTGATTCCCTTTTGTTTGGATTTACCAATGAGGTGGCTGATTAAACAATATTTTATTTGTCTGTTTTTTTAATAATACTAACAATGGATTCGTTTTCATGCCTGTATTCATTATTTGACATACATATGTTACGTTTTTCTGAACTTCATTAAAGGCAGTCTGTCCCCTCAATGATTGGCTAATATAAATAATTAGTCTTCCCGCCTTAACGGATTACGCTCCTCACTTTTACTTGCCTAGCTGAGGTAGTGGAAAACATTTCAAACTGCGAGTAGAAAGCAATTGGAAATGGCAAGAAGATTTAATCATTTGAATTGAATGATAATGGAAGCATTTCCTTTCGCTGTTGACATATCTGTCGCACAAACCAAAAATGGAACGACATTTTTCTAGCCACAGCTTCACTTCAACGGGAACACAGCCATTTCCTTTAAAAGCTCTGGTATCTCTGATTGATTTAACTAGTTTAATTATCGATAAAGCTCAACGGTGCGTGAATTTCACTCCCGTGAAAATAAAATCGAACACAATAGGGGAGAGACTGTCTTTAAAGTAGATTGTAGTAAATACAAACAGAGAAGCAGCATGTGAGGTTTCTTAATAGATCTAGTACCACACTAATCAAACCTACTTAACAGTTTGTCTTTAAATGTAAAACTAGCAGTATATAAACCAATGTTGTTATAGTTATGTGCAACTAATGCTGGTTTCGATACAACGTGTTACTACCATCCATCTGTGCATAGGTTCGATTTGCAATTATACCATAATACCATTGATTGGAATAGTCTTTGCTTGCCTCTTCGTCTACCACCGTCTGATGGCAGACAAACGAGACAGGTTGGTGTCCCTGCATCTTCCTAGGAACTAATTCGGTTTAAATGAAGCAAATAGCGAAGAATAATATAAATCCATTAAGACCAATGATTACCAGTAAATAAACTGAATGAACGGAGGGAACTTAGTATAACGGAGCTGGTGCTTGAACGGCGATGTGTAGTCACCCGTTGAGGTCAAACGGCCTTTGCTCATGATTTCATGAGCAAGGTAATTTAGTAACATGGTCAATAAAGTTGATTATTTTCTACGGCTGGAAAGAAAAATAAAACATCCTAATAAGAAATTATGAAAAAGCAAAGATTCTCAACAAATGGATAGCTTAGATCTGAAAATGTTACTAATCTTTTGGATCAATGTATTCGCTTTACTGGAGATTGCATTGTTTACAGGTAAGCCTGCATTTAAAATCAAACACAGCATCATATCTTCACTCCTCCAAGTCGTAATGTAAAAGCAATACAAGCATAAGCAACAGTTTTTGGCTACACATAGTCGCAATTGTGTAAAACATATTCTGTAAACATTGCAATGATCTTTTACTTGACCATAAACCGCTTAAAATTCAAGAAAAACAGACTTCAAATGTCTAACCTTCCGCAAGGACATCTTCAACTACTACTTTTGCTAGAAATTGAAGAAGCATCACATTTTAGTATTTGCTTGATTGTTTTGTCAATTGCTCTAGCAATCGTTACAAAATCCAGCTAGTATACTGTACACATAGCTGATCTTAGCGACAGGAGGAGTGAACATATCCTAACGTTTGTTTATTTTAATAATGTCAAATTCTCTTGCAAGTTTATTTAGATTTGTTGTGATTTTTGCAATATGTAGTATACACTGCATCAGACAGTATTCTATCCTTGAAAAAGCGCTAGATAGCCTGCATTCACAATTGCCTAAATCAACTGCTCTCTTTATTTTCTTCCATTATTGTACCCCGCTGAATATTCTACAGTATTTCATACAGTCAGATTCCAAACGACTATTAGAATAGGCATATCGACAAATGTCCTCGCTCTTCGTTTTGATGTGACCACACCCCGTAATACCTACGCCTGGGGTTACAGAAAGCTGGCGACTCTCCTCACTCTAACGTAACGTTTGGTCATAGCAGGAAATCAACCCTCGGTGTTTTGAATTACTATTAGTCAATGATCCTAACAACCGAAACACACATACACTGATATTGCCACTCCCACCATTGCTACTGATGATGTCCTTACTTATTTCACCATACTAACGTGCTAACGATAACTAATCTGGTACTCCCATTTCTTATAAGTCAAGCCTCAGGTTCACTTTATTCTTAAAATAACGTAGTTTAGCATTGGAATGAATACGTAGATTTTCACCTGCTCTTCACTATTAAGATTGTTCTCAGCTATATTTTCTGCATTCATTGACCTAATAAAGTATTTTTTATAGATGCTCAAGCCCCCGTGACGTTGCCTTCACCAGATCCAATAACAGGTTTGCTACATTAAAAATCCATTCTAGTATCTTTCTACCTTGAAATTACACAGATTCAGTTGAAGCAAATTTGAAGTATATTTGAGGAAAATTTTCAAGTTTCTACAGATAAGGTAATTGAGTTCTGCGACAAAATATTATTTTGCGTAGTCATGAATGTATCATTAAATTAGTGTATCTAACTTCACGACAAAACAAATATACAAGAATGCTACAACTATCATAGTATCGTACCATTTTACTTCCTGCTTCAATTTTACCAATTTCCTTCTAGGAACTGTACAGTCAAACACAGGAGCCACAGGATTCATACCTGATACCGGTTCAAACTGGTTTGATCGTAACCATCAGTCACTAGAAGACAATGTTGGGAAACCTTTTATCCCAGGACCAAGTTCACCGCTTTCTATATACAACAAACCAGAAGTACTTGATCCATTTTACGCCAAAACAAACGTTTTTCATCATCACCATCATTTCCTTATACCAATACATAAGCATGTAAAGCATATTCATCATCATCATCATCATGATCACCACCACCATCATAGTCATCCAGTTGTTATACATCAACACCATCATACAAAGGGTCATCATGTAAACAGCTTAGGACATACAGCAGTTACCAGTCATGGTGGAGGCCATAGTAACTTAGATGAAATCGATGTAAACGATATAAACGGAGTATTGAACGAGTTCGGTCACCATGCCCATGCAAGCCATATAATGTTTGATCCTCATCACCTCAAAGGAACACACCACAGCAAGTTCACAAGCATTGATATAGATATTCCAGAAGAAACACATACAAGCCAAGTGGTACCAAATGTGCCAGCTGCACCACACAATTTTGGAATCGATCCATCTGTGGCTGACACTGTTTCGGTGCCTTCTTTTAATATCCAAGGAAATAAACTACCAGGACCAATGACATCAAATCTTGTCGCACCAGGTCCACTTGCTGAGCAAACGGGCTACGGATTGCCTAACGCTGCTGCACCTGGACAGCTGGCACTTAACAATGGTAACCATCTTAATGGTTATCTGAACACTGCTAATAATGCAGTATGGAACAATATGTATGGACCAAATAAATATTTTGGAACACAACATGGCAATACCGGAGGACCGCTCATAGGAGACAGTCATGGGTTAAATATGGGTAGCCAAAACTATGACAATACAGTAATGTCTCACGGTGGTGTGGGAGGTTATGGTAATGTTGCGTTGGATACTGCTACTCTAAACCATGGAGAGAACAGTGTGGGATATCCAAACACAGGAGCTGGTCATTTTGAGGGATCAACGATTTCTACGCATGCAACCCCTTCGCCGATGCAGCATTCTCAGGGAGACGTTAAATCTGAGCCTGCCTTACACGCTATTGAAGATCACGGAAACGTAGAAGGAAATGTTGATCTGGATGGAAACATACATAATGAAATAACGCAATCGGATGCCCTGCATGTACACGTAGATTCACCCGAGCATTCTGTTGTTGCCAATGAGCTTCATCACTTCGTATCTGATTCCAGTGGAAACGAAGTGCACGAAGTCAATAACATGCCTCTCAACGTATTCTCGCAAGGTCATCAAGTAACAACAACAAGCGACCATGCTGGCGCGGAGGCGGGACTTCTTGAAGGACATAATGACGGAAATGTTTTTGAACCTGGTGATCATGATCATGTTGAGCACGCGCATGTTGAAGAAACAACTGAGCACGTGATGCCTTCACAGGGTGCCATTCATGTGACCGAAGATTCACATGGGCATCTCCATGATCACGTATCAGAAATCAGTCATGATCATGAGATTGATCACTGGGATCATATTGATCACGAAGGAACGCATTCTGTTTCTATCGGAGAAGGTCACCATACAGAAACCCCGCATGCAATTCACATAGAAGATAACGGACATGGATACTCAGTCCAAGCAGAGGAATACCATGATGGCGGAGAACACAGTAATGAACACTCTTCTGTTGAGCATGTGGCTGAAAGTGATATAACACACGATATAGGGCATGGTATCACACACCATTTCATCGATAACCATGAAGGACCTGATCATGGAGTAATCGATCATGGAGTAATCGATCATGGATTACTCCATCATGGATTTACCGATCATAGGGCTGTTGAGCATGAGATGGACGATCATCATGCAGTGGTTTCTCATGAAGGCATAGAAGGAGTTTCTGATCATGGGATAATAGATTATGATCACAGCGATCATGAAATCGAAGATCACGATATCAGCCACCATGTCGAGGAAGTCCATGATCCAGGAATTCATGTAGATTTTCATGCAATGGATCATGGGCACGATTTTCACGATGGTTTCGGTGGATTTCATGAAAACCACCACTTCACTCCTGATGTGCACGATCTGCACAATGATCCGTCAATACAAGAAATCCGCCATGAAGCAGAGCTTTCGCAACACGAAGTTGGAATAAGTGACGCGGAATCTCTTGATGGAGGACACCATGAAGGAGTTCACCGCGTAGAGACGCATCATGATGATCATAGAGACTACCACGATGGAGGCCTTGTCCCTGAGATACGTGAAGGGAATATTCACAGTAACGTAGTGCCGGAGTATCATGGGGATAACCCAATGACTGATCTACATGACGTAGGTATGAGCCATGAAGCTGGGCATGATTTAAGGCATGGTATTGGGGAGAGCCCTGCAGGTGATGCAAGCCACGGAGCAATCGACACTCATGCTGTATCAAATGAATTTGTTGCTCCGGAACACGATGCTGGTCATGGAGTTAGTGACGTAGCTGGACTAGGAACACATAGTGTAGATATGGAACACGGGACCAATGGCGTTCATGGTTTTGATGAGCATGGTGGTGAATTCTTTATACATCCAGATGGGGAGCATCACGAAGAAAGCCCTGCAATAACAACACAGAAAACAGAAATCCATGCAGGGGATCATGCGGATGAGAATAACGTACATATGGATGCAAAAGATGAAGAACTAATAAAGAAGGCGAAAGCAAACGAAATAATCGACCCGCCATTTTTGACTCATTTGGATCCACACGGAGATGGTTTTGGAGAAGGGGTTGTTGGAGGGCCTGATCTTAACGTAGGGAACGAACAGGGACCATCTGTAGCAAATGGACCCGTTGCTAGTTCATTTCCAGCTATTATTCCCAACAAGCCGCCATTTGTAGATAATCATCCAGCAACGCATGTCACAGGTGGTATGATAGCCCCAGATTACGGAACAAAGCGACAAAACTTTCAAAAAAGTCCAGGAAAAGACGAAAAAAATTCTTTCGTGAGTATTGGCACTCCAAAACAACCCCTAGAGCCTAAAAGTACAACGATGTCAACCAAAGTTGTTCAGCCAATAAAGTCAAAACTTTCAAAATTTGTTAAAGGCAGCCGAAGGGCCGGACTCGTATTCTTTGGAACAGACAGGCAAAAAGGAGAACCAGAAACTGAAAGTGAAGGACTAGACTCAGCGTTCGCGACAGTTCCAAATGTACCAAGAGTTGAATTTAATAAACTGCCAAGCAAGGATCAGAGCAAAGAGAAGCCTGGGAGTTCTGGGAAGATTGTTACGAGTGGAGCGAGCCAAGAACAAGAGCATAACATTACAAACAGTACACCGAGCAATGTGAATCAAAACACAACAGCAGATTTAAATGAAAAAGGAAACGAGGCTGGTTTTAATGGAAAAGCGGTTGGGAATAAAACTGAAACGAGTGGAAAAGAAAACGAGAAACAAATTGGCAAAGATCAAAAGACTGAAAACAAAAAAGTGAAAGATGCTAAAGGCCTTGAAAACAAAGGTAATGAAAACATCAAAGTTGCACAGGGTCAAAAAACTGAAAATAAGACAAAGGTGAATGAGGAACTGATGAAGAATAATAACAAAACCAACTGGCACGGGAGTATGGGAAAAGAAGCCAAAAATGTGACTAACCCACAGCTCACTAATAACACGAAATCTGAAGACAGAAAAAATGAAAATACCAAAGAAGACAGCCACAGCACAGAAAAGATTGACAAGGAAAATAAGAGTGAAAAAAAGATAAATGAAGAAAACAAGCGTAAAGAAAAGATAGAGGAAAAAAACAAGCTGGAGAAAAAAGAGGCGGATAAAAGCAAAATCCTAAATAACAGCACTAGTTCTGCAAACCAGAAGATGAAGCTGCCTGGAAATAGAAAAACAATAAAAGAAAATCCGGAAGAAAACGAATTTGTATCTGCTGCTGGTGCGGATATGGAATCGACAGAAGGCAGTGGGGGAAGAAACGCTAAGGATGAAGAAACAAAGCTAGGTAAAGGGAGCAAAAGTGATAAAACGAAAAAGATTACGAAAGAAAGTAAAAGTGAAGACGAAAAACCAAAAATACAAATTAAGAAAGAAAACGAAAAGAGTAAGGAAAAACCCGCAGATAAGAAATTGAGTGAGAAAAATGAAGAAAAAAATTCAAAGATGCAGAAAAAAGTAAAAGAATTAAAAAATGAAATCAGCGAAAGCTCGATAAAGCAGAAGGAGAAATCAGATGGAAGTACTTCAAGCAAAAGTGCACAGAAAAACGATAAGGAACTTGACAAGTCTAAAGCGAAAGGAAAAAAGAACGGAGAAAATACTAATGGAAAGGAGGACAGCGTGGAAGAAGGTGGGGATATGGGAACAGCAAAAGCAACAGGAGGGGATGCAGAAAGCAACCCTGGGGCAAGCGTAAAAGAGGAAATCAAAGTCAGCAAGTTAAACAGTACGAGTGGGCAAAAGAATACAAAAAACACATATATTGAAGCAAAGAATATTAGAGTGGCAAAAGCAAATACAAGCGCAGAAGGTAAAGGTCAAAACTTTAATCAAGGTATAGACAATGACAGTAAACAAGAGAAAGAAAAAGGTAAACAAGAAAAAACTTCTAAAGACTCTGAAAATGATAGTTATTATGGTCTAGGCGGAAGTGCAGGAGATGTAAATAGCTTCCTAGAGAAGAATGCCACAAATCATTTTCCAAAAATTAGTGAAGAAACTGAAGGTAACAGCAAGGTAAGCGAGTACAATTCGCTGCAGAGTAAGACGAATAATAATGAAAACAACGATGAGAGCAGCGGGTTCGAAAAGGTAGGAGTAGAAGAAGAACAAGAAGAGAACTCTGGAACAGATGGAGCAAAAGATAACAGCGAGTCACAAAACGGACAGAAAAACAAGGAAACTGTTTCTGTTGATACAGAGGAGTGGCAATCTGGTACTGCCAAAATGGCAGGCGAAAACAAATTGGCAGCTGAAAACAAAATGGCAGGTAAAAACAACATGGCAAATGAAAATAAATCTTTAGAAAGCATGGGCGGAAGCGATGAGAAACAGATTGAAGGAAATGAAAACGAACAGACTGCAGTAGCAAATGACCAAAATGAAGCAGCACAAAATTCTTATACTGTGAAACTGCAGGAAACTATAAATGACTCCCGGCCAAACTCAGGGCCGACAGATTCGCCCACACAATTCTACATGAAAGGTTCAGACTTTGATGATAGTAGTGGGTCGGCCAAAACGCCAACGGATAGTCCGTTGGAACAAGACAAGTCCCAAAATTCAGCAACAAGTCAAGGCGATGGCAATCCTACTGGTGGTTTTGCCAAGTCAGGAGCAACATTTTTGCAAGATACATTAAATGGAAAAAGCGATGAGAAACTGATTCCCAATAATGAAATTGATGAAAATGATGTGGAAGAGGAAAATGCACTCCGTGTAGAAGCCAATGATAAACTTGAAGTTCTTCAAAGCAACACGGCCACAGTGCAGGGTGACAGGAGTGACCTCCAAGACAGCACCGAAGAAAAAGAATTGTTTGGTGACGTCACGATTGACAATCCCGGTTCAGATATTGCAGATAAAAGAACAAAGGACAACAGCGGTGGAAAAAATAGCATTCGAAAAAGAAACCAAAGGCCAGAGAAAGGAGGCAAAAAGTCAAAGAAAAAAGGTTACAAAAAGACAACAAAAAACGTATCCAAAAATCAAAAGAGGATTTCAATGGTAATGAGTAAAATCAAAAAAGCATTGCAAAACCTAAAGCGAAAACGGGATAAAGTAGAACGGGGGAGAAGAAAGAAACGATTGTCTTTAAAAGATTTGGGCATAGCAGCATGGAGTTAAGGTACATGCGAAGGTTCCCTTAGCCTGCAAAACGAAATGTTAAGCGTCACAAATTTACGAAGGAAAAGCTTCATGCAGGTGAGAAATAGACAATGGAACGAAGAAACGAGCTCAAACAACCTAAGATGTGCATGTTTGGAGACTTAAAATAGTAATGAAAGTTCTAAGGACTGACAGACAAAAGTTCTAGCAGAATTGTCATTTGAAATTAACTGAAATAGGGATTGTACTTATTCTATCCACAAGAATAATTTTAATGATCATATCGAAAAATTTTATACAAATTATAGACAAGATAGAAAGCATTGTTGATAAATATAATAGTTTAGAGTAGAAAGATATTTGTGTTCAAAGTCAGTTAATAGTTGCTAATAGTTGACATAAACATTTGTTTGAATTACTAAATGTTTGCATTGTTTCTCTTTAACATAGAATAGTTAACGATAAGAACTATTTAGTATCTTAATTGACACCCTTTATACGTAAAGTCACATGTTTCTAATGTCAATCGCTATAACAAAAGACCTCTTAAACATCACCTTCAGGTCCATGACATAACTAAAATCCAGTTAAAACATGTAAATCTGAGACTCGTATCAGAAATTCGAAATAAAGTTACATTTTTACATGAGCTACTGAGCGGTTGATAAAACGTTCCTACATTTGTGCCCTAAAGTTGATAACGAACAGTTGATAAAACGACAAAATGTGCCCTAAAGGTTGATAAAACCACCGGAAACTAAGGGGACATGGCCAGCCAATCCCAGAACTTTTCTAAATACTCTACATCTTCGGTCTTGGAATTCCTTGAATTGAACTCCCATCAAGAATACAATGGCAGAGGTAGTTAACTCTATCTTCTGGCATTTTTCAAATTCTCGTTTTGGCCATAAAAATAATTACTTGTTTGGCTGTTGTGAATACAACGAGTGTGAGGTTTCAAAATTGTTCGATGTTCAAGGTTAGTGACTTAAAACGTTAACATTAGAATAATCAGTTACTGTAACATAGATAATTTGTCACACTGTCTCAAAATTGCATTTGACACCTTAGAATAAATATATGATCTTTTAGTTTTAATTACCAATTTTCACTTAAAACTTACATACTTTGAAAAATAAATTATGTCACATAGTGTAGACGCTGTAAGACGTCGTTAATGTTTAATGCACCCTGTTGACTAATTTTCGTATTATAATGGATTTTCGACACGAATTGTTAATTCTCTTCACAACAATTTATGCATACTTAAATTTTTACGTACAACGCTTACTGAAGTTGATGAAAATTAATTTAAGAAGTAAATGGACTATATTTTTCCTCAATTGTCGATTCCTCAAAAGAAGAAGAAATTATTTGTCCTAGTATTGATTTTGCTTAAGATAAAAATTACACCGCAAGTAAACTGAACTGAATTTTGAAATAGAAACTAGACATTTTATAAACTTTAAATTAAAAAGTTTTAGATTAGAAGTATAAAATTGGTATAATTCCGGAAAAATTTTGTTTCACTACTTTCATAGCAATGCAGCTTAATGAGATACAGAACCAAGCAAGCTGAAAAACAACCCAAATTTCAAATGCTCACAACAGCTTTATCTTGATGTGTTTCCGTCACAAACCGAACTTTATCCACTTCTATCTGACTATTCATCTCCTAAAGTTAGATGTCGATTACTGAGTGAATACGCTGCCAACAGATTATCAAATTCCTGTATTCATAAAATACATGCTTTGCTCCTTCAAATTTAGAAGTAAATAAGATAGAATTTCCATATGAATGGTTTTTAATCTGTAAAAATTTGCGAAATGTTTTGATATCTTTTTATTTTAGTTTAGATTTAGCTTAATCAAAAAACCCCGATTCGTTGAAAATCTAACTAGCTTAAAACTCCAATTTGCATTTTTCTAACAAAAATAAAAGATTTATATTCAAAATTCAATGATTTTCATCATAATTAGCTTAATCAAGCTTTCTTTCAAAATTAAAATCGAAAAATTGATTTTTAAAATTTTCTGATAAATTTGAAATTCACTTGCCAATTCAGTTCTCTAAAATACTATCTAAAAGATCCTTAACACTGTCCGCAAAAAAGTCGGGTATTAAGTCACTAGTATCATTTTCTAATTTCAGCTTTTCAAGTTCATTTAAACTCACAACACCACTTAAGACAGCGAGAGTCTTCATCCCAGATCTTTTGCCAAAAGCAATGTCCGTTTCTAATCTAGAAAATGAAAAAAAAAACAATATTTTCACTCAACTTGAATTTCGCGGTTTAAATTCAATAAAAAACATCTAAGATTAGCTTTAAACTCAAACTGACACTATGGAAATCAAATTTGAGGTCTTCTTAAATTTACTTAGGATCCCTACAGAGTTATACTCGAATACCCTAACAAGCTAAAGCTGACTTTGTGACTCTTTTCTATGGACCCTTTCACAAAGTCAGCACTAAAGCTAGATGTAAGGTACCATGCATGACAGTTTTCAAAAGCTAGGGCTTCTCAGAAGTTTTGTGGGAAAGGTAGAATTTTTAGGATATGTGGAGGGTGGTTTCATCCTTAGACGTCCCTACAAACGACGCAGATAAGTTCTGCCGCGGAGAGACATTTACAATCCTGAATTTATCATTTGTTTGACAAGAAGCAAGTGATTTTTGGTAAGTCATGGAGTTCTTCGATAAAAAAACACAATAATCTTAATTTTTGGAAAAACAAGTTCAGATAACTGATGGTGCACTTTACTAGTATTGATAAGATTTACCTTTAATCGTATCCAGTATAAACAGCAATTCATATGTTAGAATCAAAATATTTTACATAAATGCACAATATAACACACCACTGCTCTACAATTTAAGGCAAAATCAAAACTATGGACCAAATTAAGTATGAGTATACAGTTGGCAACTCCATTGCTAATTTGTAGTCATGAACATTATTCCTGATTGCAGAGTCGACTGGTATCATATTATAGTAGGGTAAAGTAGGACAGAGTTTGCCTGCTATATAAACTGTTTGGTACCTGGATACATATCTGCTTTTGTCAATGAAAACCTAGGAAATTTGGCAAGGAAAACTTGGAAGCAAAAATTTATGTCAATATTTGCAGTACTGTTTCATTATTTCGTACAACTCTGAAGTATCTAGTTTGTAAAGAAGTATTTATTGTCCAAATAGGAATCCGCAATTCTTGTCAAAAATAGTTGGAACACCACAATATTCGCGTTCAACAGTCAACAAGCCCAGGCTGAAGTAGTTTTCAAAGTCATCAACGCTTTTGCTATATTCTGCCCAACATTTTTGCAAGGACTGTAGAAATATCATAAGTTGTGGAGAAAAAATTGTCTTTAATATTACGAATTTTACATTGGTATGTAAAGGAAGACCTGAAAGGCAGAAAATGTGCTTTTCACTAGTTTGTTTTGATCTAGTATTACATGAAAAAACAAAAGAAAAAGCCATGATAATTATACGACCTTTCCAAATTACATATGGGCCTGGTTTAAAAGGCATCTCATCTCATCATTGACAGCAAAAAAAGTCAATACCAGCTACATCATTCTTAGAAAGTTATGTTGTATTGAACTGTGCAATTTTCAAAACTCCAGTTTTTGAATAATGCTCGTTATGATTGAGACCGTAAAATTTGTCTCATCACAAGGAAAGACAGAAAGCTGAAATTTGTTGATTAAAAACATTAGATTCCTTATATTTTCGCAAAAAACAAGCAAGAATTTCGATTAACGAGAAAATTAATCCCCGAAAGACCAAATAAATTATTGATGTTTATTAATGCTTAACAGTTTTTCAGTCCAATTTTTTTCATCACAATTAAAATTATATAGTACAAGCACTGATGCTTAAAGAAACTTTATTGCTTACCTGTCACCAATCATAAGAGTTTTTGAAGGTTCAATGTTATGACTAAAACAAGAAAGCATGATAAATGTCTTAAAACAAAATTAAAGAGATATGAGAACTGAAATGTGACTTAACGTATGCACTTTCATTGAAACAGAGACTATGTGATGTCATAGCTATGCGATGAAACTTCGTCAAAATATAATTGTTTGACTGTTTCAGTTCAACGACAAAATCTGAAAATTAAAAACTATAAAATACAGTTTAAATCCTAAAACCTCGAGCCCCTAATAAATATGAGCCAGGGCATAGTACTTCTGAAACTATGTATGCCTTCGGTCGCATCTAAATCCATTGGTAATAGATATCCATGACTTTGCATATCTAGAGGTGTTATGTAGTGTCCTTTCATATCATGGGGTATAGATACAGAAATTCTATAATAACCTCTTTGAGGTCATCATTTAGGCACTAGTTAGTGTTTTTTAAAAACTCCGAACAGTGTCTCTGTAAAATCGTGTGAAACTGTACGAACAACGAACTCTAAGGCACTAGAAGAAGCATTTCACATCTCAAATGATTCTTTCACTTATATGCTAAAATTTGACTCTACAGCGCCATTACAATTCAGTGTCGTTCTTAATAAAACAAAGAATGTGGTAATCAGTTTTGATACATTAAGACAATCAAAAGAACTGTTCAAATTTAAGTGACTCTATGTATATTCATCTATGACAGTATCGTTATAGGTACAATTGGGGTACAATGACAAAACTAATCACCCTTCAAATAAAAAACTATGAACCGTGAAATAATGCAAATGAAATTAATTTTGTGACATACATTGCTTCGATCGAATCTATCATCGGTTTCTCTGGCTTGCCCATTATTATTGGGTCTCTCTTTGACGCTCTTTGCACAGCAGCAACCATGACTCCACTCCCTATTGATGGAATACTTAGAATTATAAGCTTTTTCATTATCATTACATAAAATATTTTTTACCAATACAAAATCTAGAGTTATCTTGATTTACAAAAAGTCAAAATTAATGACCTAATTATATAAAATGACATAAAATATTTCCTTATAAATGCAAATTTCAAATGATGTTGATTCATGGAGTATGAAAAAATATCTATTAGCGTCAAAATCCGAATGACTTAGATATTGATCTCATTTCTTCTAGCAATAAATTCAAAAGATCACCCTTTCTATCTTTATCGTCTGGCTAACATTTTACCCTAACCCTTATATTGATTTGTAACCCTTCTATGTTTTGGCTCTAATTTGTTGCCCTATGTATTATCAAATTCAATTTTCATGGGATGGGCAGAAAATTAGATGGTGAATGGACACAATGCTTCCAAGATTTTATTCAGTTTTTCGATTTAAGATGTTAGTTTTACGTTTTAAGATGAAATAATTTGACTATAAAAGAACAATTACTGCCTTGATTGCTTTCAAACTGTAATTTGGTTTTTTTTCATTAAAGATGATGTTTTTAAGTTGAATTTAATTCTAAATTTATTTTTACATCATTTTAATTTCACAAAATTTAAATCAAAACCATTCCAATTAGAAATTCCAAATCCACTCCAATCCGCTAAGTCTTGGGGAAGAAGTGAAATAATGTAGCTCGAGTGTTGATTTAATCACAAATGTTTTTTATAAAGACATAGATATAAAGTTATAAAGATATAAAGATTAATAAAGATATAAAGATAAATCAATAAACAGTCAATAGACAATGCAAATAAATAGCTGTCAAATCAGTGCCCTGAGGTTTGGTAAACTTCACCAAAACTGCAAATTAAACTGCCTGATTCTCATTCACATGTCATCTCGATATCAAGCTGTGATATCCTATAACTTGCCCAAATTTGTTGCACACTTCCCAGGGAAAATTCTAAAGCTTCAATTAATGTCCAAATAACAACAAAAACTCTTCTTTAACTGAAATCATAATTCGCCTATGATGAAGACCCTTTACGTGAATACTTAAGAAATATATATATATTAACAAAACTCTACGCTGCGAAACAAATATAGCCAGTTGTGGATCGAAACAGGAACGCGAGCCCATAATTGAATTATAATTCACTTATATTAAGGACCATTCTCACGAACACTTAACAAATATGTGGTAATGAATGGGGTTTGGGAAAGCTAATTTTAATGTATTATCTTCAGCGTAACCTAAGAAAAGGCAACACGATATTTGCAAATCTGTAAAAATGTATCAAGTTCTTGTATCATTTAAATGTATAATCTTGTATTATTTTTCAAAACACACTACCTACACAACTGACAGATCATGAAAAGTTCATATTGCCAGTCACCATTTCGACCAGAGAAAACGTTTCAATTTTGGTTATTTGTTGAGAATCAACAGTCGTATTTCCCCTTGATTTGCTGGTATCATACACCTTCAGATTTCATGTCCTAAGCCCTAGAACAAAAATCGTGACATACTTCAAATAGAAAGAAGTGAAAAACTGACCGGGCATGAATGTCCCATCTCCCATTGGAAATTGATTATCAGTGTTTGTAGCAATGAAATGAACATTGGGATCTTCGAGATACGTCATTGCAGAGGCGATTTTCTGAAAGCTGATGTGTTCATCAAAGCCAACAACAACGGCACCAACCTAGGACATTGTGGAACAGCATAAGTTAAACAAAAGCAAATACAGACAGTCAAGTCTAATAAAAAATAGTTTACGAAGCATCATTGTTAAGCAGTCAATTTCTATAAATTGCTCAAGATATTTGTATCATCTGTATTCAGGTCATAAATGGTTGGATGACATTGGTAACATCTAGGGGTTTGAGCAAAATATTGAAGTGAACAGAAACAGTTGGCTGAACTCAGTGGACGTTATATCTTGTCTGAAGATTTTTAATCATTGAAATAAACGGCTATTTTTAAAAGGGGAGTTTAGATTGCGTTGATTATTTCTGCTTAACATTCTGCTACATTAAAAACCATATTTTGCCTTCTTAGTCAGTAACTGTAAAGAATCTGTTCATATCTAAAAGAAATCACGTCCTTTCCCTCGCTTATGAACGATAAAAAGCTTAGCATCAAATCGTATCGTTTAGCATCTCGGCCAATGAACTGGGATCTAAAATTTCACTCAACATTCATACAGCAACTATTCCTAATGTTGGTTGGGTAACCAAAACAGAGGCGCGCAAAAGACCCAAAATTTTCCTAAATAAACCACCCGAAATTTATGTTTTCTAATTGCACTTTAGCGTTACTTAAGTCACTCTGTTCAGTTCCATCTGGATCAAGGTGACGAGATAACCTAGCGCTTCTCCAAGACCACACGAAAGTATCAGTTTATTCCAGTAATCCAAGTGTCTTAAAAGCTTTCTAAATAGCAAGTGAAAACAACATTTATAAACCCCAAGGAGATGCTATCTAATAAGAGATGTTGTCTGCTGCCTTCACTATAAGTACTGTCTTTTCATTTGAATCAGACATAGGTATCTAAGCGTATAGAAGAATCCATCCGATCCCATTTCAAAAAGAGTCATTTTCGAGCAGTTCTTAAAGTTGATGATGACCAGTGCCGTGGTTTATTTTTGTGTCATCTCAATTTTATAGAAGGCTTTTAAAACAACATAGGAGAGGTTTGAAGAAATTTCAATTGATCTTGTATTAAAGGCACATAGAGTTTTACTCTTTAATAAAAGCAAAGTTAACCAAACTTATAAATTTCAATGTTTTGTGACCCAAAATGGCGTTAAAAATATGTGGAGCGAAAAAGAAGAGAAGAAAATTTTTTTTTCGATTTCATCACAAATCCATTCGTCCAATTTGCTGTTATGTTAACTTAGCAATCTTCGAGAAAAGAACAGCAGAAATGCGGGAAATAGATCTGGCTTTTTGTGGATGTTTTGACGCAACTAATGTTTCTCGAACTGGCAAAAATTGTGAAACCTGTCAAACACGAGTTATAAAGTGAGATATCGCGTTGTACATTTCCCATACGTTTAAAAAAATTGCTTCCAAGTTACTGAGTTTTTAAGGTGAAAGTAAAATGGAAAAGCAAAAGCCTTTGTGTGTCTCACACATTTTTCAAAAAGACCATTTTCTACAGACAAGCCCTTACAAAAATAGAGCAGCAACTTCTTCTTCTCACCTTTCTAACACTGGTAATTCTAAAATCGTAATTCTGGTTTAGCAACACAAACGACAAATGAGCTTGTAATTTTCTCTTCGACAAATGACTTTAAAAAGTATTATTTTGCTGTCATGCATTAAAACAACAAAAAATTCTTACTTTGGTTATAAAATATCAGTTATTAGAGCAGAAAATTAATTTATTAGAAAACTAGAACATTAGATTGTCTAAAAAAATATTCGCTTTAACACTTGCCTCACTGTTTGTTGATAAATCGACTCTTTGCGTCACTTCCAGTGATGGATCACCAGGTAGTGGACATGCCTTAGAAAAACATCAGCATTAAATGATAATGTAAAATATTTCAACAAATCATCATCAATTCCATAAGATATAATTTTTTAACCTGTTCCTGTAATGGTAAATCGAGACCTTCACACATAGCCATCATTTGTCATTTTACAACAAGTAATTCTTTTTTCGTTACAACACCATAAATAATTTTGAAATATAATACCTGTCCTTTCAATTTGTTTGTACAACTTTAAGCTTTCAAAAAGATGTCCTATTGGCTATGAGTGGGTAAAAACAAAGCTGGTTTGTAATCAAACCTGAAAATTTTGATGACAATTGTGTCGATTTGAAACTGATACTAACACATTAAAAGAACCCTAATGCCTTAAGAAGTGGTTCATTCCATTACAAAGAAGCCTTAATCTCAAATTAGATGTTATATTATATCTCAAAGTCTATTTTGCCTACAATATTGAAGAGAACTGTAAAGATTCAAAACAAATTGTAGAAGTATTTGTTTATCAGCCAACAGCTCATTTTTAAAACTCTTGAATCTAGTACCCAAGTCTAGAAATAACACTTAGGGCATTTTTGAACCGGGATGTGAATCGCGTATTTTCCTGTGTTAAATCTTATCAAATAATCAAGGTCTTATTCTGGTTTCTGATTTTTCATATTTTTGCCTAAGGACCGGGCTAGTTTCGGCACAAGATACTCTGCATTTTACAAGACTGACTGCCTTGTTGGAGTTTCATTTGAGGGTAAAGTATTGACAATTCTACGCAATCTTCGTCAATCTCACCTCCTACAAAGTTTCCCTTCTATTTATGAGAATAATATTCATCAAAGTCCGATAAAAACTTTCAATTCAAAGACCGCATCAACTGAAAACTGAAACTGCAATAGCAAAGTTATGAAGATGAAAAATAATGACGATAATGTAAATGGCACAAAACCTACACCGATAGGCAAATGTTCCAAGCCCACGTTCCTGACCTCTTCTGCAATACCTTCCCCGCCTACAATGAAGACTTTTTTCTCCAGCTTCAAGACATGCTTCAAATATACAGCTGCCACTCTTGCAGTACCAAAGATTTCATTCTAAAAAAAACAAATGCATAAGCACAACCACGTTTCTTTACAACCAATGCCATCAACTTATCAAAGTGGACAGTAGATGAGATCTCACAATTTTCGGCTTTGTACAGCTTCACTGTAAACTTAAACATTTAAACAATGATAACCCCAAACTCTTGCACATCTCTTGGCATTCCATTATGATATATCCTCTGTTTCGTTACTAACGAGTCACATTACCACCTGCCTGATATAATCTTATAGTCATTGCTACTTATAACAAGGAAAACCTGTTGCTTAACTCTGAATGCATTATATTACTTCTATAAGCAGCTCAATGGTCACTCCTTTTCCTGTACTTGAACTTTACAAGTTAAAACATCATTCACGAGTCACTTCCCTTGCCACATCCCGTGAGAGCTGGGATTGTGATTTGCAGTAAATCATAAGTCGGTTTCAAATGGTCTGCATCGGCTTGGGCAAAAAGAAGGAGGTGTAGAAAAAGAGAAGAAGAAGAGGATGAAGAAAGAGAAAAAGAAGTAGCCGAAAAGTGAGAAGAATAGGAAAGTATGAGAAAACGGGAAAGAAGAAGATAAAAAGATAATGGAGGAGAAGAAGTAAAAGAAGTAGTAAAAGAAGGAGGAAAAGAAGAAAAAGAAAATGAAGAAGAGATTGAGGAAAAAGACGAGGAAGAAGGGGGAGAAAAACAAGAAGAGAAGTAAAATGAAGATGAAGAAGAAAAAAATAAAAAAGGAGAAAAAGAAAACAAAGAAAAGTAGAAGGAGAACGTGAAGAAAAGAAAAATAAAGCGAAGAAGAACAAGAGGAGAAAAAGGAAAAGAACAAAAACAAGAAGTCTTTTTTCTTTAAATTACGCAATCATTGCACAATAGAAGAAGAAGAAGTAGAAGGAGAACGTGAAGAAAAGAAAAATGAAGCGAAGAAGAACAAGAGGAGAAAAAGGAAAAGAACAAGAACAAGAAGTCTTTTTTCTTTAAATTACGCAATCATTGCACAATAGAAGTATTCTTCGCACTCTCAATGTCCATAATCTTCAGTTGAGTCCACATTCCTCTCCCATCACCAACCCCTGCTAGATCTATTGTAAACAACTAACACAACGACCAAATGATCTTGTAACTCCTGTTCTTGGCAGAGCTGAAAACCTTCCCTTAATGTATGTAGGTATTGGTGGTTTCATTGTTAAACGATTCCTATAAAGGAGAACTTTGCAGAAGGCAGGAAAGCACCAATTCTTTTCTATCACCAAACCAATAATTATCCATTCTCTCAAAAGATACTATTTGCCAGTTGATATTTTCTTTGATTTTCTGGGAAGGATTGAATAATGACTAATTCCAACCAGCAAAAGTATCTAAACTGATCATTTTCTAGTGAATTTTCCATGATGTCATGCTTCAGGTCTTACATACAAAGTAACTCTTTGCGGTGTTTAACTGATTGCAACTTTCCTTTTGTGAATCTGCTATTGAAAAAACATTCTCTACTTGCCTGGTTGGCTTCAATTCCAAACTTTTCAAATTTTTCTGCCAGTTGCCTAATTGATTTTGTGTTATTGTTGGTAACAAAAACAACTCTCTTGCCCTACAGAAAAAAAGTAGTAATGTTAAAATGATAATCAAATATTCTATTCAGAATATTTTTATATATCATTCTGGATTTTGTAGTTGATTACCAAGCCAATATAAGGACACTTAGTACAGTACAGTATTTATTGGATTATAAGCTAAAGCTTACAAGTTTTTAAAAACGATTTGCTGCAGTTTATGATCAAGGGCGGTTTATGATAGAATAGATACTGTAGTCAATTAGAAAATCTAGATAACAGACATTTGTCGAACCAGACTGATACTTCACAAAACCTTAACTGTAAAAAAATGTCAGACTCATATTGTTTCTCCCCTCCTTAAGAAATTTATTTTCACACATTCTTGAGGTGGGTAGGGCAAATAGGCATCACAAAACAATGGCTCCCTAGTACACTGGACATACTAACAGTTTGCTGTTAGCAAGCACATTAGGGTAACAGAAGCACATTTCCAGCCAAGTGTCCTAAGCAATTGATTTAAATGATACATAACCAGCTTATCAAAAAACAGGAAGCACCAGTGTGCTGAATTACCAATGTCTCATTCAAACAGTGGCTGTAAAAGGAAATAAAATTAAACTGAAAATTTCCCAAGGTTATGGATTTTCTGACATTATCTATTTAAAAATTGAGTTTATCAGGGTATAAATATACTTTGCTTCGATATATATAAGGAAATATATTTATTGGTTATCTTTACTTAGAACAACTGCTCACTGCTTACACAAGAGAAATCACCCAAACGCTTTTCCACTCAGGGAAGCTATTATTATAAAAGGCCTGGTACTTGCAGCATACCACTTAGTTGAAATGATACCCAACATTGTGCTGAAAGGAATATTATTTAATGAGCAAATGTAAAAGAGTAATACAAAATGTGCATAAAAACATACTAAATTTCTTAGAGAGGCAACAAGGCTTGCAGCTCCTTCTATCTGGCCAGTAGGATGCCATATTACACCTGAAACAGGACAGAAAATTACACATCACAAAAATAGTTCCATTCACCAAAAGTGATTAATGATGACTTCAAAAGATTCATATGTATACTAAAATATTTGACTCAACATCCTGACAAAGACTATACCCCTTAACAATAACAAAACAGATTAGACTGTTTTAAATCCATCAGTTAAGATTACTTGGCATTACTCAAAATCCCCTTCTTGGTTGCCAAGCTTGGAGTTATCCAACAATAAGGAGTAAAGAACAAATGTTAAAAAAAATGAAACAAGGAAAACAGCATCTTCAGCATTCAAAGTTGTATGGACTTTTACAATGATATGAAACATTCAGGTTTACCACAACAAAACAGTGAAATTATTACTGAAAATTTTATCTTACTGGACTTTATTTTGAATAAATATTTTATCTGCGCAAGTTTGCCTTGACTTGACCATACTAAATTAGGTCAAAAATTTTACACAAAGAAAAAATATTTTTGCAAGTTATAGAGATAATTCAATAAGTCCCTATTTTGGGGTCAAGAATAGAACATGCATCACTTTCTGCTGTTGGTTGGGAAAAGGAGGTTTGGATATGTCCATTATGCTTTGAATCAAAAGATTTGATTAAAAACTCACTATTCTTAGAATGCAGGCAAGAAACCAATATTTCTTAGAAACCAACTTTTGCCTTAGAAAACTAGGACTTCCAAATGACTCTAATTTTAGCGGACAGGATAACATGAACAGTGGCATTGATACAAAAATCCATAGGAGAGGTGAGAAATTTCCATTTTATTTTTTTCATAAATTTGGTCTTTGGAATGAAGCAAAGTCTTGTTAGGTTTTGGCCGTAAAATGTGGCATTTTTGGGAATGCCTAGTTTATATGTTGTCACTTGAAAAAGTTTTTTTGTATATGACAGCATGGTGTAACATTTATCACTTTCATTATTTGTAGCATTAATCATGCTATATGTTGTTGCTTTTGTGTGAACATATTTCCTATTTCATTGCAAGTTTAGCGGATAATACAATAGTTTGTTAACATGTGCTATATAAGGAAACAGAAACCTCCTAAACTTAATGCCATCTGATGAACACATAAATGTGTAAGGCCTCTTTCTCTTTATTCACTAACACCATGATATTTTGCGGTAAATAGTACCAACATTGGGAAGCTAAACTGCACAGATTAAATGACAACATTGGTTTGAAAAACTGTGTGGGTGCAAAAAAGCTTTGGCCAATTTACTTTGAGCGGGGTTTGCGCTGGCGTGGGCTATAGCCTGTGTCTCCGGGAAAGGCCTGGAAGCCAGCAATTTAACTTTATAAGTTGTGAGATGCAAGAGTGGAATATAGGCACAAAGTTGGGTAACTAGGAGCACAAACCTACAACTGGTATGCTCCCTCATACCAAAAACTAAAGGATTGTCAGTAAATATCACAAATCTCTTTTGGTAGTTTGTCATAAGATAACAAAAAATCTAACTGATTGCAGTAATGTAATGTCAGTAAATCATGTCTACCAAGCTTCCAGCTTTGAAGTTTTTTATTAATCTATGCACCCAAATGGAATTTATTTTTATTGTTACCAAACTTTCATTCATTGTTTTGTCAATACATCCCAGGCTTGATTTCATAGCAGCTTTCCACGATATCCTGGGATTGAACAAGCTAATACACAGGACATTTGAGTGTTCACCTAATTTCCCAGTGATTGCTGAGTTTGTCTAATGTTTAGTGTCCAATGTCTGATGTCCAATGTCAAGTTTGGCCACTTTTGCATTTATCCAGTTTATATCAATTTTCCCTCACAAATAAAATCAATGATGGAAAGTTGAAATTAAACTTTCCTACAAGTTGTAGGCTGCAACTACCATCAGTGGCTGTTGTTCAAATTTCTATAGGTTTTTAAGCATTAATTTTAGAAAGAATTTAAGAAAACAAATTTGGTAGAAAGTCATTTTGCTATCTTTAAAACCCTAGAAATCAAAGTCACAGCCAAATCCAAACCCAGGCCATGGTCATCATTCAGGTGTGCAATAGAGTACTAGTAATTTTACCAAATTTTCTCGGGAGTGCAGCTGCCATGAAAACCATACTGGAACATGTCAAAACTGTTCACAGGGATGCTAGAGAGGGGGCACAGGGGGTCAACTGTTCCTGTTGCCTTTTGATAGGAAGGAAAGTGCCCTTATTATAGAGGTGCCCTCGACATTGGCAGGTGTAATCATCAAAAGATACATATAAAATTCTGAGTGTACTCCCTTATTCAAGAAGACATTTCTCAAACTTGTAAATAAATTTCTTACGCCAAAAGTTAACCGATTTTCATGATGCCTACAGAAGTTCGAAATGAAATGATAGTTAAGAAAGAATTGTTGGTAGCTGGGAATTATTTTTCAAAAGCCCTTTTATTCTAGTCTGCCCCTCTTGGCCTTTTGGTCGTTCCTGACTACCAGACTGAAAAGTTTGGTTTGACTGTTCAGACTGGAAGTAAAATCAAAACAAAAAACTCACCATCGCAATCAAACAGCACTGAATTTACTGACTGTATCAGTTCTTTCCCCAACTTCCTATCCAACCTCCGACAAGCCATGCTTTAAGGATATGTATCTTTATATCTTTAAAGTTTTGAGGCACCGAAATCCACAAAAATGTCGTCTTTCTGCACTCGCCTCTGTTTGGAATATTGAATCGAGGCTGTCGTCTTCAGTACCACAGAATTTCTATTTTGTGTCAGTACACCCTCTTGTAAATTAACAAGTCCTTTATTTTCCGAACAAGGCATACTTGAAGCATAGACTTTCTAAAAGAAAAGCGTTAAAAGAGGGGATTGTGTTTATTTCACTTGGCCGTGCAAACGTAAACTAGACGCCGAAATTAAACGGGGGTATGAAAACGAGCAAGGGATATAGACTTTGGATTTACTGATTCCGGATAGCGGATAAAAACTTTTTTCAAAATTCAAGCAGTGTTAATCGACTAAGCCTCGACAAAATGCTCATAGAAGATATATCAAAACACCAGTATAATATATTTTACAGATTGATAGTACCTCAAGATAAAACGTTATGTCCTAAATTTCTTTCTAGCTACCAAAGCTAAACCAAGTGAAAGGTAGTGAATACCTCAATACATACACCTAGTTTTCCATTTTATGGCTTTTATACTACATTTTCACCTATATTTGCTGTATTTTACTGTATCACAGCCTTACTAGACAACTGTTTTTCGTTAATTGAGAATTTTGTCGATCGCTGTAAGACCTTCTGTAAAATAGCTTACTTTTAAGGTAAATGTTTAAATGTTTATACAAAAATACCCTAGATATCAGACTCACTCTATATAAAATATGAAGAAAGTAATACAGTAATCCTTTATTCATATTAAGTGAGTCTGGTACCCAGGGTAATACAAAAGCGGCTAAATTGCCTAAACTGCATTTTGGGGCACAGTTTTTTTGAGGTTTCATCGAGAAAAGACAATTGCCATGGTGAATAAAGTCAAGCAAACTTACGACTATGCTGGAATCGTAATCCATGATTTATTAGCATTTAGATTGCAAATGCATTTCATAATTGAAATAGCTACCATAAAGGCAATAAACGGACAAAATGCAATCTTTTAAGCTTTTTTAGGGAACCATTTATAAAACGCATATATAGAAATAGCTTGTTACCCGCATTTGCACACATATATGGTGAACAAAATGCTAAATTTATTATTTGCACTAGACTTTGTATTTGTATTGTAAAAGTATATTTACTCTGTCGGCAAATCACTCAGTCAAAACTGAAGCTTGGCGGTGATTAAAAAGGCATTCTGTGTTGGCCAGTTGCTCTGTCCTCCAAGTTCAGACATTTCATATTAATTTTGAGAACCAAAAAGTTGTTAGTCTTGACAAACAATGCGAAAAGGCATTGAAAAAAGGACGTAGCAACAACAAATTAAATTAGATTAGTGGACCAGCTGTTTTCAACCATTTGCAAGGCGCGGTTTTGATTCTTAGCTTAAACGAAGAAGATGATTATATTTAAAATCCCTACCCTGCTCCACTAAAAATCTTATCTCTGAAACTACTCTTAAAACATAAACTTGATTTTTGAGGGTATCACCCCAGTGTCGGAGCCACGTGGGGCATCGGGGGACCAGTCAATGTTTCACAATGGAAAGACGATGTTTCAAACAGGGAAAAGGGCGTGATCTAAAAGGGCGTGGTTCCTTAAACACCTTTTGCCCCCCCCCCCCTCACTTATACCAGGCTGGAGATGCCAATGTATCACCCTAAACATGGTTTCCACAGACCGTGCCAAAAAAGATAGGGGTACCTTGCACTTAGAAATATTGTTGATAATTGACAACCACACCCTTTTTACACGGGATCCCTTTTTTATTGAAGCCTTAGACTTGGTTTCCTATTTCTAGCTTTCTGCTTATACTAAAATTAGGTCGGAACATTCTTTATTGATAATAAAAAGGTAATAGAGATGATAAATTTACTTTCTTGCAGTGAACAGCAATCTGTATGCTACTTACAGTTAAATATTTATGCTTTGTTTAACAGCTGCATTCTCGTTTATGAAATTATTCCGACCCTCTCTCGTTTCGTCTCCAAAGCTTTTGATGATGTTAAAAATAACAAATAAAAGGGCAATCTTTCACTTCACTTTTTTCAAACCCTTCTTGCACTTCATCAGAACAGTAAAAAAGGTTTTATGACAAACAGATAGGGCATTGCTTTAAATCATAGTCTTGTTTATGTTGAGTTTCATATTTTATGAATTTAAGGTATATTCATATAATCTTTTAAATTATGTGACGCATCAAGCATTCGTTTTTTAAACGAATAAAAGATCTCTTGCACAGTAAGCCAGAAATTGATAAAACTGGCGAAGCAGCTCGGGGTCTCATGGGTTAAAGGAGGCGGTTTTGGTTGGAAATTGAAAACTTTTTCAGCTTAATTGTTTAATGCTCATTTTCGTGTGTTAATGAACTTAGCCGGGTATTTCTAAATATTTGCCCACCATAAAATATTGCTCCAACTGAGCCCCTGAATAAGGTTTATGTTTCCTATCGTTTATGTAACTATCGTTAAACATAGTAAGTTTTGGTGTTATTGTGGTGCAATTCCCTGAATATGGTTTATGTAACTATCGTTAAACATAGTAAGTTTTGGTTTTATTGTGGTGCAATTTCCTGTTTTGATTAATAGGAGAAAAGCCCGACTGTTCGCATTTATCAACTTGTATACATTGAATAAAGGTGGTAATGCAAAGATTAGATAAGAGCTGGCTCAACGAATCTCCTTGGAGGACCCCACGCTTGACAGTTGTGAATGGAGTGATGAAGTTATGCTTTGAATTTCTTGCGAGATATGGTAACAATTGATAAGCAATTATTATCATTTTTGTGGTAATTGTTATTATATTTGACTACTGCAAAAGTCGTCCGATGTTAGCTAAAACAAAAGAAAAATGAAAGATTGGTGATATATTCGCAAAATATCAATCAGATGTTTCCAAGTATTTGTTTGCCTGGAACAAATTCTTGCAAATTTGAACGCCATCCGTGATTATACAATACAAAACTTGGTAGTACCAATCAGGAAGGCCAGATCACATTTTGAAGTAGGGGGGGGGGGGAGGGCTATAGACAAATTGATTAAGTCCCGTTACCTTTGTGTCACTACCTGTATATCAATGTTCCGAAGTAATGTGAGGGCTATAGGCCCCTCCCCCGACTCCCGCTCCAGCATGCCTGCAAATTTTACCATTGGATGATTAGTCAAAATTCAAACATAGTCAACCTTTGTGACTATGTTTAGAATTTTTCCTAGTAAACACCATATCTACAATGTGTAAGTATTAACAACTATGAATTATCTAATGAGTTATGCAACCACTTTAGAAACAACATAATGTTAGTAAATAAGGTTACTATTGTGCAAATTCTATTATCATTGTTTTATTCTCGTTAATCCAACCAAGAAATAACAATACTCAAGAACGTCGACTTTTTCCCAGATAAATCTAAAAAATATTAATAGGATGACAAAAGTAATCTTCCGTGTTTCTTTGAATGATTAAACACGTTTAGCCCCCTCCCTTCATTCTGACTAACAGAAATTGCGTCACTTAAAATACTTTTCAAAGTATTTTCTTTCTCTGTTCAATCAGGTAGTCTCTAAATGTTCCTTCGACCTCAAGCCGTTGAGACAAAGATGATTAATGCTCTTATATGTGCCATGACCATAGAAGATTTCGGTGTTAATTGTCCTCTGAATTCCCGTCCAAGGCTTTCATGGAAAAACTGGAACGCTCAGAGACTGTAATAGTGCGCATCTTTCTTGGACTGCAGAGAACGTGGAAGTTAACGTCTCACTTTGACGCGAATTATACCCACTTCTTGAACATTTTCTTCAAAGCACTTCGATATTGCTCACTGAATATGCGTACAAGAGTGGATCAGCTGCCGTATTAAAAACTGGCAACTAAGATAGTGACACGAATAAACACGCATACGCTGATAATCGCCTTCGTAGTTATCCTTTGAACACGTTTTGTTTGAGCGCCGATAGTAGCCAAGTAAATGAAAAATGGTGTCCAGCATATACAAACACCACCAATAACCATGCAGTAAACGGATTGTCTTTTTACGCGAGGTATCTGTTTGCCGACAAATAGAAACATCTGAAACTCTTGTTTTAAGGTCTTATTATTGTTGCTATAAATGTGTATAAAGCACAGCTAAGGGAACAAACGAGTGCCAAAACGATGTAAAACAGGGAATAGAGCATACCATTGATTGCTTCTGGCCATTCATCTTTTGGCAAACACCCCATTCCTTCTTGTAAGTGAAAGAAAGAATGTTCGGTGAGACCGAGACGATACCAAGCAGCCATGCAAATAAAGCAGTAATCTTTACAGTTCTTTTTGCTTTGCTGCCACTCAAAGCGAAATGGATGATTTATACAGATATAACGGTTTTATAGATATTGTGGTTAGCGTGAACAGCGAAACAAAGGTACATACAAAAAACGGTGACAGTCCTACTGTAAAATTGCATAGAATTTGACCGTTAAGGGGACTAGCATTCACTCCACGTATGTCGATGAAGACGTATGGTAAAGGCTGATGTCTGCTAGAAAGTCTGCTGCTGCCAGGTGGCTAACAGCAAATTAAACGGAGTACGATCCACTTTCTTTGTTGAAATAAGTGAAAAAACTAGCGCATTACCGACAATACCTATCAGAGTACAAATCAGTAAGCAAGACGAATGAAGACTTCAACTGTATCTGGAATACCTCTAGAAAATTCTGTTGTCAGATTTCTTTGCAGTGTTGTATTGTATCAAGCCATTTGCCAGTGTCGAAAAGCTGCTGCTATTCCGATGACTGTGTTTGTCAGCGCAAAGTGCAGTAGCTATATATAACCTGACTGATTGCAAACCATTTATATAAGCATTTTGCCATTACGACAGTCATGTACGAGCAGGTTGTTACACGGAGCTGCGTTGTCTACTATGTAACAAAATAATCAAGATCAGTTTATCAATGCTAAGTAAGGAGAATATATAATCTGTAATGTTACAAACACTCATTCTCAAAGATCTACGTAACAAGAATTTCGGCAAAAAATCAGCTCCAGATTAACAAGGCAAAGCAGAGCGATGATAAAGTGCCTTTTTCTGCAACTCTCAATGTTGAAGCATCATGTAAACCAATGCTAATCGGTCTTAAAATCTTTGTCTTCTTGTGGTGAATTCGAAGAACTGGAGCCTTGATCACAACGACTGGAATACCGTTGCTTGCTCAGCAACTTTTATCTACGGAAAAATTGCAAATTCACCTGAACCGTTTCAAGGAATCAAATGTTCTAAGCAATGATGGAATGAGCAGTACTTTATCAAATATGACACTGCAGGCTGTTCATTCACACTATACCTGGCAAGCAATGCAATAAGCATTTACAGCCGCTGAATTAATGACCCTTGTGCAAGTACTTTTATTTCAGACAGCTGTCGATACGAAATTACAACATATTGAGCTGTATGAAAAACTCCACCACGTTTTGAATGATATTCTCTAATTTTAGATATGCCTTTGTACGTTACCAACATAGTATCATTAAAAATTTATTGAATGTATGACAAAAGAAAGAATACTTTTGACGTAAAGGTATCCTTAATGGTATCTTTAGACAGCCTGCTAAATGCAGGTGTACAGAGATTTGATAATTTCCATACTTCCTGACGTTTGTTCTTATGAAAACACGTAGCGAATACGTAATACAGGTAACATTAACATCAGCTTCAGAATGGCATTGCGAAACAGATATTAGCGGATAGATAGAGCATTTTATAGAAAGTTACGACATTTCGCTAATAGGAAAGCAAAGGCAGTTATAGGCTGGAGACTTCGACAACAGCCTCTGGCAGAAGGTCTCTTTAACCTGCCAATTGCTTTGTCTATCAGGAATATTTACTGACATTAATAAAAATTTCTTTGAAAAACCTATTAGTATTGTTCTATGATGTAGAGTGTTTATTGAGAATAAAGGAAAACCCAATGCATCCATAGCGACTTTCCGTAATTTTCGAGCCAAGATACTTCCACTAAATGTTTTGTTAAATTAAAATCACTTGAATAATTGATCCAAAATTTTCAAAATGAAAATGGAATATTCGAATTTGTGCCTCATGAACTCATTGTCTTAATTGCGCACCATTTGGCTGATTAAACAATAGCTTATCAGACAACAGTAAAGCTATTGATGATCTGCAATCAATTCCCTTCGCATGTGGTGAATACTTTTGAACTTATTATGTATGATATAAAGTTCAAGTAAAACCAGTTAAGAGCCTTAAAAAAAATTATTCTAAATATTACCATTAGTTAAATTTATATTTGCCTTAGTTAATAAATCGTCTGTGAAGCTGTGAAGAGAAGCGGCGATACACATGACGGATAGAACGAAATATTTACCAGCTCTCTTCTACCCTATCCTCCACTCCCTTCATTGAAGCATAAATATTTCAGCAACCGGGATATGGGCATCACATTAAAGAGAGGTGGTTCCAAATTTCGGCTTTTTTAAGACTGAAGTCTAGTTCGGTGATATTTTAAGTATGATTTGTCTGTTAGCGTGTGTGACCTTAAGTTGGGTGTGACGTAAGTTATCCTATCTCTATGGTTGAATATGATTGTAAGTTATGTATGACTTCAGTCAGTTTGAAGGTAAGTTTGTGTATCTGTAGTTGATATGATTGTAAGTTTGTGGGGACTGTAAGTCGTGGGTGACTTGATGGATGTTGGTGTAAGTTAGGTTATAACTATAAGTTGGAAATGGTGTAGTTGTGCTGAATTTGAGTCAGGTTGAATGTATTATTTCTAAACTGTAAGTTGGATAATATTAAAGTTGTGCGTGACTTGGAATCAGGTTTGATTGTAAGTTACTGTAAACAGAAGTTAAAATATAAATGGTGTAAGTTGTATTCGAAATGTAAATGATTTCAAAGATACTGTAAAATCAGAGCAGAAACTTTGATATTTGTGGGTTTGCTTTTTCTGGAGATGTCCTTATGATTTGCTTTAGCCAGATGACCTAAAACTAAGAAACCTTCATATGGAAAGTCTTGAGTTGTGAAAACACGTCCCATTTGTTTAAAGATTCCTTTCCTAATTCCATTTACTTACACAATAGAAATAGAATCCTTTAAAATGCATGCTTATTTAATAACACAGTCAGGCGAGAAACTCTTGATACAGATCAGAGCTTTGTTTCTGTACAGCAGTTGTGATGTCATTCTTGGAGGACAAGGCATTACATTCTTTTTTTTATAAGAAACAATTTTTAAGAACACGAGCCTCAAAATTGGTCAAATGTTAAAAACAAATTTAAAACAAGCTGAGGCTGAGCTTCTGCAAAAATGCAATTTGCAAAATGCAACGTTTTTCTCAATCGAGGATTTTTAGCGATGTGTGGTGCTTTTTCGTCGAATATTCAAACTTTTTCAGCAAATGAATATGTCTCACTCACTTTGTTGGCAAATGAGGCCTGAACACCTCCCTAGAGCGAAAAAGCTAGCACTCGCACTGCTTACACCTTATAGATTAAGAACAAATTAAAAAAAATCCAGCCTCAGATTTTCGAAAAAATTAGAACAGTCAGCCTGAACTTAAATTTACTGGTTTTTTGAAAAAAAGACGTGTACATTTACCTAATCATTTCTGTCAGCCGGCAGATGTACGAGTTTAGTTGGGCAAATTCGATAATCGATCAGTTTCCAGTTAT